GGGGGCAAAATTTATTATGGTTTATAATGGCAAATGATACTTTGAATATTACATGTTAATAACTTGATTGGAATTATAACCCTGAGTTGACAGTTTGATACTTAGAAAAATTTTGAGCCAGCCCTACCCGCAAGGGCTGTAGGGTGGGGCCCAAAGGAGTCAGTGTGCCAAAATTTCTCCATTTTCCTTGTTTAGAATCAGAGGTGCTAGTTTCAAATACTTTTTAGTCTTAAATCTGCATTCTAGATATTGAATAAGGTAGTTTTATTGTTTTTTTGTCACCGAAAAACATGTGTCTTATAAACTTCACCTCAATCCATGCATCAGTTGCTGAATGTGAATTTTAAACATTTAAAGTGTTAGACTAACTTAACTTGGACTGTAGTTATTTGAGACATATTGCATTTTAAACCATGCATCATATGCTGAATGTGGCCTATATTTTACGGTCCAGTGACTTTGTCAGCATCTTCCTCAATGTTAAGTTTTTGCATTTAGCTGTGTATTATATATGCCAGTATATCTCAAACAAAGTGTTAGACTAATTATACTTGGAACAGTAAGTTGGGATGATGATTACCAACTTTAGGGTTACAACGATTGGTCGGAATTCAGATATTGTTCGATTTTGCTCAAATTTTATATGTTCAGTGGAACCCACTTCTTATGATATTATGATATTTTTCTCTGGCAAATAGAATATCATAATAAGCGGGTTCCACTGTATGTGTATTTTGTCACTGCAAACTCAGCCGCAACACCTGTTTTCTGAAATGGACAAAATGACCACCTTATACTAGCTTCTGATTGGTCGAAATTCAGTTATTGTTCGATTTCAGTCAAATTTGTTATGTACATGTCTTTTTTGGCACTGCAAACTCAACCATGACATTCATTTTATTAGCTTACCTGGCCCGAAGGGCTACCAAGTTTGTTCAAATAAATGACCTTGACTTATATTCAAGGTCACAGGGGTCAAATATGTGTAAAACCTTTAAACAACTTCTTCTGAATAACCGAGAGGCCTAGGATGATGATATTTGGCCAGTAACATGCTGGGATAAAGGGCTACCAAGTTTGTTCAAATAAATGACCTTCATCCATTTTCAAGGTTACAGGGGTCAACTATGTTAAAATATTTATACAACTTCTTCTGAATAACCAAGAGGCATAGGATGATTATATTTGGCCAGTAACGTACTTGGATGAAGGACTACCAAGTTCAAATGAATGACCTTGACATATATATTCAAGGTCACAGGGGTCGAATATGTTTAAAACCATTGAATGACTTCTTCTTAATAAGCAAAAGGCCAGGGGTGATGATATTTGGCCATTAACTTAACATGCTGGGATTAAGGACTACCAAGTGAATGACCTTCACCCATATTCAAGGTCACAGTGGTCAATATGTTTAAATCTTTAAATTATTTTTTCTGTATAACCAAAAAGTCCAGGGTTACAACATTTTGCCAGAAGCATGCTGGGTTGGACGACTATAAACTCTGTTCAACCTAATATTTTGTCCTTGTTCGACATTCAAGGTCACAGGCGTCATATGTTTAAATCTTTTAAAAGGTTCTTATGAATCAAACACTAATATTCTGCCTGTAGCTGTATTTTAGTCTACTTTTAAGATTACAAGTGTGAGATTAATATCAGGTGAGAGATGCAGGCCCATTGGGCCTCTTGTTATTTGACAAAATGGCCTCTGTATATTGGCTTCTGATTGGTCGAAATTAAGTTATTGTTCGATTTCGCTATAAATCGGTATGTAAGTGTATTTTCGCACTGTGAACTCAACCCCAGCAACCGTATTCTGATCTGACAAGATGGTCGTCGTATACTGGCTTCTGCATTTTTGGTTGAAATTCACATATTTTGATTATCGCTTATATTTGGTATGTACGTGTACTATGGCACTGCAACTTCCGTTCTCCTATTTACATTTGTTTTTCAAAATGGAGGGGTAGTTTTGGCGACATCTGTAATAGCCGGCTCCCATTACAATTAGCACTTGTTCTTTTTATACCTCCATGTTGATATATTGCCAAACTTGTTTATAAAAGTAAAATTCCAAACTTCAACTCAAAAGCTTGACACATTGAATCTTATGCTCAAAGCGGGGACAGGCGGGACATCTAATTACATGTAATTCTTGTGGAGTAATACAATTTTCTTTAAAAACATTCTTGAAGGAACAATTCCTACAGTTCTTTGCATAGGTTGGAGTAAAATCTTTTCTGCCATTCTGGCAATAGCACTGCCCTTGTATAGAGGGAAAGTGTGGGCTCGGACAGTATATTACTAGTTGACCCCTACCCCTGTATAGAGGGAAAGTACTGGGCTCAGACAATGATGGGTATTACTAGTTGACCCCTTGCCCTGTATAGAGGGAAAGTGTGGGTTCAGACAGTCGTTAGATTTTTGTCAGGCTAGATCTATTTGGGCTTGTCACAGTGTTGCACATGGCTAAGGTAGTGCTTATTTATTCATGTGTTTACACATGTTTAATCTGAAGTTGACAAATTGTCTTTTTAATTTGATTAAACTTTCTGGTTTACAATCAGATATTGAAGATTTACCCTCTAGGTTTAACACCTGCATTCTGAATTGTCTAGGGAATTTTTTTCCTTTAATTTTCAATGGTTATTGCTTCCGCTCGACAAGCAAGAAAAGCATGGTTGAGAAGTTATCCTAATAAAGTGGTTTTATAGTTGTTGTCTGTAGAGTGCTGGAGGACATAAACAGTATACAAACTGTACTCTCCAACCCGGCTTTTCTTTTATCTCCGCAGTTAACAACAGTAGACCAATTTATGTACCCATGTGTGGGCAAACTGCTTCAGGGTTCTACATGTTTTATCCTTGTTATGTATGAATCTCCACTTGTCTTAATTTCTCTTTTGAAATTTGTACTTCCAAAGGAGGCTTTTATATACTCTCACGTACTTTTACCAAATTTGTATGAAAATACCAGATAACAACTTGGGTTGGTAGAGTGTCGTATACTGCAGGTCTCATGCCTCATTACATACAGAGTTGTGGCCCTTTGTTGACACATCTCGTATACTCTTGTCACCTACAGTTGCCAATTGTTAACCATTTATCACTTTGTCAGGGGAATAACTTGTATACTCTTTCACCTACGTTTGTCAAGTTTTTTACACAAGTACTTCTTGGAATGGCAAATTTTCACTCGTTGTAATTAGATCTGTTTCCTTATGTCATTTGTAGTTATGGCCTATTGTCATTTTTGGTACAGCAATTTGTCTGAAGGTAAATAGCTTTCTCAAAAACTTTCATTCCACCATCCATTTTTTTGGCCCTGCCATAAAATGGGGGGGGGGGGGGTGACATGGTGACGGGCATTCATGTCATGCAGACATTTTCTAGTCTTTAATATTTTGTTTTTGTTAATGATTGATTCTAAGTTATCTTTAACTATGGAGTTCATTTGGAATCATGATGTATAAGGTTTGTCGTCTTTGAATCATTGTTTTCAAGGTTTCACCTTGGAACTTTTCTTTATCATCTTTGAACAAAAGTTTCCAAAAATGAAACCTGAAAATGTTGGTTGCCTGTTTTGAACAAGCATTTTATACTTAAAACCTTCGTTTTTTTGTATCCTCTTAATTGTTGTTTCTATGGTTTTACAGAATTTCCGAACCATTGTTGACAAGGCTTGTCTGAACAGCAGCAAGAAGAAGCCAATTGAATTTCTGGCTGACAAGTTCTTGGGCTTGGTAGATGACAGAAGCTTAAAGTCACATTCGGTAAGTACCTGGTAGATCACAAATTATGATTTTTGATTGATTCACATTTTTCTACTAGAAGGTGTTTAACTAATTCCAACCCTTGTAAACAGCAATGATGAACATGTTCGGTGTAACGGCTTGAACCGCGGTCATCAGTTAATAAATGATGTCACAATGCTTTAACAGCATGCATCAAATGAAGTTTCCTTGTGATGCCATTATTCTCAGAAATTTCTTTCCCACAGAAACTGGAATCATGCATAATATATTGCTTTTCTGACATAATGTTATGTTAGAAACGGATTTCCCAACTCGTGATGGATGGTTTATGTTGTTGAACTGTTAGTATACCACCACTAAGTAGGGAGGATGATACAGTAATCACTTTTTCAGTGTGCTTGTGACTGTCCATAGTAAGACCTAGCGTACAATCTCCTGAACACCTCACCTGATTTAGTTTATATTTGGATCAAAGTAGAATAGCATCAAGTTCCACACCAAATTAGAATTTGATGGTCGAGAATTCAAGGTTAAAGGGTCAAAGGTCACACTTTGAAATAAAAGTCTGAACAAGATATCTCGCAAACCTCTCCACAGACTTAGTTAATATTAATCTCATAGTATGGTAACATCAAATTCAAATTCAATTTTTGTGGTCATCCGTTAAGGTTAAAGGTTAAATGCACACTTGGCTCAGGGCCCAAATTCACCTTTCTTTGTTTATGAATCCCTGCCCCAGCCCCCGCCACCGCCACCGCCCCTCCCCTCCCCACTAATTCTCGTCTTTTTGTAAAATTTGAAAAAAGTGATTAAGTTTGATAAACATGATACCAATTACCACTAATTAAACCCCTATAGATACACACAGTCATATGATATTTTATCTATGATATTCATATCTGTATACACATGGTTGACCTTCCAACTGTGTACATATATTGCACAAAAAAGTTCTGTGAATGCAGAAATATAATGCGGTCTGTGAATGGTAATCGACAGTAATCGTGAGATATTTTTAATCAAGGTCACCATTATAGAGATTTTAAATGGTGGCCTTTGTGGTTTGTCTACCATTAACTTGTGTAGATGACAGGGCCTGTGATTTGTCTATTGTAGAAGATAGGTACCAACAGAACCAGCCTTGTCCCACTTATCAGTAGAGTCCTCCTTATCTACCACCCTGTAATGGGTATTTGCCCCTTTGTCAGTAACATGCCAACACAGCCTGGTGGCTGATTGGATGTACACTTCTCCTGCTGATTTCACAGGAAAAGTTTAATCCTGTGCTTGTAGATTTATGTATTTATTTATTTTTTCTAAATGGTTCCTTTCATACTGTCAAATTATCAAAATGATAGTTGTTATAAAAGTGTAAAGATAATGAGTACACTGGAGGTTGTGGTGGGGGGTTCTCCCTTGTCCTCTTTTTCACTAAGAAGGATTTATGCTTATGTCAGTATGTTTTTGCAAACAAACATATATTTCGAAGGTGGCCCCAAAAGTACAGTTTTAGGTCACCTGAGCCAAGGCTCAAGTAACCTGTTGCCATCTATCTTAGTCTTTTGTCATCTGTCGCTAAAATAACTGGCTTGACCTTCATTCAAGGTCACAGATATCACGAATGGAATGCTGTCAAAGGTCAAGGTCACTAAGTCAAACATATTAGTTCCAGAAGACCTAAGGTAATCATGTCTGACCAAGAGACAGCTGGGATGGAGGGCTATCAGAATTGTTTGAAAATGGACATTAATCATTCAAGGTTACAGGGATCAAATATAATCAAATCTTCATTGACTTTTCAAGTTTCCGTAGTATAGGGTTATGATATTTAACAAATTATTGTAGGCTATGAAATGTATTGAAATCGATGAGTGACCTTTGTTCCATTTGGTGATTTTGACCTTCATTTAATTTCACTATCTCCCAAATTTCCCCTTTTTCAAAAATGCTGGTACAAAGCATTTTAGTTTCTTAACCATCCTTACATGTAGTCAAGATAAGGTAATAACTAGATTTGTGGCCCGATCAGTTTATTAGGGCCCTGCATGTGTCCTGGTCTATCTGTCCTTCTGTCTGTCTTTCATCCACACTTTCATTTCCTAAGATTGTCTAAGAATCCAGAAGTCAAATTACAAAATATGTAGATGTGCAATAGGGGTTTCAGAAAATCCTAATGTCAAGGCCACTTGCTACAAATAGAACGGCGGGACTATTCTGTGTAAAATACATTGTACAGGAATGAGAGAATTTCCCTTGGGTAAAGAGGATTAACTGGTAGATACTGACTGTTGAGTAAATCATGTATTATGTAATGTCCCTTGGATAAAAAGGTACAAGATTATATCCATTAAGTAACTACAAGTGGTTCTGTCTTTCTGTTAAATAAAAATTAGTTTTGTGTCATTTGGGTAAAGGATATTGGGATTATGTCCCTAGGGTAAACATTATTGAGGCTATGCCTTTTTGGTTAAGGTGTATGGAAGTTATGTTGAGGTAATGTTACTTGAGTAAAGAAGAATGAGATTGTGTACCTGGGGTAAAAGGGACGGATATAATGTTAATTGGATAAGAAAAGGCAAAATTATGTAGTTAGGTTACGTCACTCTGGGAAAGGGGGAAATTAAGGTCCTGTCCCTATGTAGGTGTTTTAGATGTAGTAAGTATTAAGGTTAACCTTAGCCCTATTGATTTCACTGTGACAAAATAATACAGGATTGGTTGATGGGTTCCTGACCAAATGTCTGAGGCTGGCAAATTTGTCTGGCAGGTGTCTCATCTGTTTATATGGATGTGGGGAGGATGTTCGTGAAGCGGAACAGAAAGGGCAGTCGGGGTGTGGAAAGGATGTTAGACAGGAATAGGGGGCGGAGTTGTGGGACCAAAGATCGTAGACTGTCTAATTGCTTCCATATATAAAGTTCTTTATTGGTAGAAAAAAAATCAATTGGTATTATCAATGGATTTCTTAAACAAGAATTGAAGAATTGGTACTCTGATTGAAGTGTACGAGTTCTGGTCTAGCGAAAATGAAATGAATGCATTCATGAAAGCTGATCACATACAATGGTTATGTTCGACCTATACAATGTGGATTATGTGTTTATGACAAAATGTACTGGTATATATGATATTTGTCATGAGGCGATACAACCAGTGAGACTTTATGTGATGTATATTTCTGGGAGGTGTTTTGGAATGACTTGATTAAGTCTTTACAATAAATTCAATCCCTTCAGAATAAACTGGCTGGTTACAAGTTGGTTCTTGTCTTATTTTTAGATATCCTTGTGTATAAGCTTACCAAGGCACTAAGTTTTCAATTGAAGATTAGGGTTCAATACCTGGTACTTGGGTCAATATTTAATCTTGTATGAATCAATCCTTTGTTTGTTCGCTTGGCTGACCTACAGGCTTCCCCACAGCCAAAATATATGTATACAAGATCTTAATAGGCTGCTCACATACATAATCTTTACTTTAAATTTATTTATTCCGCTGTTTGGGAATAGAGCCGGTCATAGAAGCTAGATATGTAAAAGGGCTGGTAGAGGAACAAACAGGTCTTAAGTACTTGGCTAAGATTAAATTGTAAAACGGTATTCATGATGAATGTTTATTCTGGAAGCATTTGTAAGCAATTAGATATGCTTCTCAGGGACCTAAGAAAATCCATTTACTAAATACAAATCAAACTGTTTTTTTTAAATGATTTAAGGGCATTTCTTGCTTTTTGATTGACCTCCTGGTTTTCATGTGTCAAGCTTGTAGATTTTAATGTAAATTGCCTTTAAAAATACTGAAATATTGAGGAGTAGTCCAAGGCCACGATTTACCAAATCAACATTTGAATTTTTCTTCAAGTTTGTGGTATTGTCTGCCGTATGTTATTCAGCCCCATTTCCAAGAGTGTTTTAAAGGTTCACCCACTTTGTTTAAATTTCTATTGAAAAGGAAAGAAAAAAATAAGCTGTAAAGTTGTGTATTTTTAAGTACATATAAATATGTATTATACCAAATATGTCATTTGAAAATATCTACAGGTACAAATGTGTTAGGAGGCTGTGATAAGTCGATGAGAGCGGACTGTAAACAGCAAGGCAAACCAACATTACAGGGAGGAATGCTAATTCTGTAATTACTGTTCAAATGTATAGTTAATGAGATGGAATTAAAAATGTCCTAATTGACCAGAGTTGTTAGTGATCATTGTATTCAGCTATATCTATCATACACGCACCAGTGGTAGATCTGAAATGTTCATGGTACATTAAACGTTCATGGTCGAATACTTTGTCGATTACATGATAGTTGTTTCATGGTGCCTCTTTGATCTGGTCTGTGTCAATACTGTAGAAGTCATTGTTAGTGTTTGCCATTAGTGTTATTACTGTCTGCACTAGTTACACTGGTGAACTACTGTGTATCCCCACAACTATCTCTGTCTATAGTTAACAGCAGTACTCAGAGCCCTGATTATTGTTATAGTCATTGCATGCCGGAACTTGGTGATGTAATGTGAAGTGAACTTGAAACTAGAATATTTTGACATTGTGTAGTTTGGAATGTTAGCATATTCCTGTCGCCACCATCAAGTGCAAATAAACAAGTTTCAGTTATGCATACAGCTATTTGATAGCTGGAAAGTAATGTCATAGTTGTAATTAGGTTCAAGAGTATTAAAAGCTCAAGGTTAGAAATGTGTGTGGAAGTTGTTGATTGATTAGACGGTGATCATTGACGGCTGTTGTCAGTGTACATCTCCTGTTCTATAATCTGATCCATTACCAGGGGATTCAGGCCTGGATAGAGCTTCCATAATTACACTGGGTGTCCCCTGAGTAAAGCTACAACACAGTGGTGGCACAGGCTTGCATGCACCAGATGACAAAGTGGGTGGTAGCATGCATGGTGACGCAGTATTGATTATCAGCAATGATGAGCACTCAATACAGACGAAAACAATTTCACATACAGCCATGGCAATTTACAGCAGAATAGTTGTTATTAATGATGAAGGT